CGTCGTTGGGGTGTTAGGGCTTAGGGCACGCAAGCGGAGAGATGAGCAGTTCTCTACAGTAGGTTCCGTGCGGGCTCCAGAAATCTAGCGTGCGCCAAAACGGCCACCACAAATTGGAGAACTTTCCATACACCATACATGCGCGCGAGGGGAGCTGTACAGCTTCAACGTCGTCCACCGTATTCCTCCCCAAACCCTAAACCCTAAACCCGAAACATGCCTAAGCCCCGAACATCCCCAAGCCCTAGACCCTAGTTTCACGGAAGTTGGGATGTTCCCCCTAAACCCTCAACCCTAAACCCTAAGACCCTAAACCCTTATGACAGTCCTTAATGGGGATGATCGTACCTATCTATAATCCCTACCCTAACCCCAAACCCCAAACCCTAAACCCCAAACCCTAAACCGCTGCGGGTGCACATCCAACACGGAAGCTTCTCCGAGGTGCAATCCATCACGGTTCCCTCCGACGGCACCCCGGTTTTGAGAGATCTGGGGGCCCCCTCGTTTAGGGTTTAGGGTTGGTTTAGGGTCTAGGGTTTAGGGTTCAGGGTTTAGGGTTTAGGGTTTAGGGTTTAGGGTTTAGGGTTCAGGGTTTAGGGTTTAGGGTTTGGGGGGCCAGTTCTCAGAATTGTGGTCTCCTTTTCTTTTTTGGCGGGTGGGGGGGGGAAGGGGGGTTCGGGGTTTAGGGTTGCGGCTACTGAGAAGGGACCACCAATTTAGAGAACTATACCCTCAGCCGTGGTAGTCTTCCCAAGCCGAAGCCGTTAAGTGCTTTCTGCTGCTGCCATTTAGTTGAGGAGAGTTGATGAGAGTCTCTTATGATGTTCCCCCCTTATATTTTGAGTCCTTAATGAGGACCCTTGTACCCACAGCCCTTTTTAGGGATTTTCAGTACCCCCCCCCCCCCCCCCCCCCAATTATAATCAATAATCTCCAAGAAGGACTGTTAGTGTCAGGGGGAACATCCCAAAGAGTCCCGGTAGCCCCAGCGGCACCCTTTTGCCTTGTTTCTATATACGGTTTAAGGGTTTAGGGTTTAGTTCGGGTTTGGTTCAGGGTTTAGAGTTCTCTCATAATTTTCAGTAACCAATCCCCAAAAAGAGGGTACCCTTATTCTAAGATGGGTACTGGGCTACGAAGAAGTCAGTGCATGACACGGGTGGACATCTGGCACGACACCCTAAACCTTAAACCCTAAACCCTAAACCCTAAACCCTAAACCCCAAACCCTAAACCCTAAACCCTAAACCCTGACCCACCAGGTAAGTGTTGCGCTGATCAAACTCACGGTCAACTACGCGCCTTGGGCGAGAACTTGCAGCGTTTAGGGGGGCTTAGGGGTTTAGGGGTTTGGGGTTTAGGGGTTTAGGGGTTTAGGGGTTTAGGGGTTTAGGGGTTTAGGGGTTTAGGGGTTTAGGGGTTTAGGGGTTTAGGGGTTTAGGGGTTTAGGTTTAGGGGTTTCGGGGTTAGGGTTTAGTTGCCAGAGCCTTCTGAGGGCATCTTTTCGACATCTCCATGCTGCCTCCAGAAGCTTACATGCCAGGCGTTCGACGTGTGGTGCAGACCTCAGCACAGGACCTCTCATCAGGGCTCCTAAACCCTAAACCCTAAACCCTAAACCCTAAACCCTAAACCCTAAACCCTAAACCCTAAACCCTAAACCCTAGGCGATGGTCGGAACTGGGGCATGAGGTGCTATGCTACTCTGTGTTGGTTTGGGTTGGTCTTGAATCATGTTCTTCTTGCTTCGTTTATTCATCTGTCGCAGGCGTATCTATATACTTGTGTATATGAAGGCTCAGGATGTTTTTGATTCCTGCTTCAGCTTCCGTTGTAGCTCTTTCCCCGATGTGGTATTGCCATTGCCATGCCATGGTCATGCGAGTGAAAGAACACGCCACCAGCAGGCAGGCGTGGGCACCTTAGCAAGCGCTGAACCAGAAACGAAACACAACATTATGATATGCCTCTTCTTATGAATAGTACTACTGTTTCTATGAATGACATGACTAGTATGATTATCATGATAACACTATTGTTGTTGTTGATGGTAGAAAGCCATGGCCCGACTTCAGCCGCTGCAGCCGCAACACGCGGATGCCCCAAGACGTGTGGGCCGTCTGCCGGGCTGTGAATTGCTGTAGGAGCCGCAATCATTAGAATGGGGTTTTGCGGGTGATTGTTGTACGTTTACTAAGGGAATACCATTAGGATTTATTCCGACCCCTATATTATCCTCAGACACCTGCCTTTGATGGTAGCCATGGGCGGAAGCCCTTAACCCTGGCCCCGCAGCCTAAACCCAAGAACCCTATATGGGTGGTTGTCAAAATTGTGATCCCTTGTGGGGTACCCTAAATAATAGGTGCCATAGTATACTAGGGATCCAAAAAGGGACCATAATTTTGCCAACCACCCATGTAAGTTTTGAATCAGTCCTGAGTCCGACTGTCAAAAGCCCGCCTGCCGACTGTCTGCAGGCTTGGGGTCTTCACGTGTAGTCCGCTGAGGCTTTGGAAAGCAACATATCCGAAGCCCCTAAGCCTCAAGCTTTAAGTCCTCAACCCTAGAGAGAACCAGACCCCTAACAGCTGCAAATCTTGGGGATGAGGCTTGCGGGGCAGCTCTTCTCTCGAACATGCCAGGTCACGTTTCCTTCGCGGTCTTTGCTGTGTTGCTGACCGTGCCTCAGCTCGAACACCAGTGGCGGCTTACGGCCTGTGAGGGTTTAGGGTTGTGGGTCTTTCTTGAGCTTTGGCTTCAGCGTTCTTTTTGCCAATTCGATGATGCGAGGTTTGGAATGGGCCGGCGGCCCTCAGTTGGTTGCTTCCTGCATCGTCTGGGAAGCTGCTTGGCCAGTATTTCTGCAACAACTGCAATCACACCAACGACAGCTGCAGCAGCTGCAGCTGCAGCAGCAGCAGCAAAGACAACGGCCACAGAAACGGCCACAGCAACATCACCAGCGGCATCAACGACCACCATTTTTTACTCTCACTAGTACTATTATACGACTACGACAACGTCGACGACGACGACAACAACTGAATACTCCTCTTCCACCGCTGCCACCGCGACCACGACCACTACCACCCACCACTGAGCGAAGACTCTGCGGAGGTGGTGACGCTGGAGGTTGGTTAGGGTTTAGGGTTCAGGGTTTAGGGTCTAGGGTTTAGGGTTTAGGGTCTAGGGTCGAGGGTCTAGGGTTTAGGGAGGTAAGAGTCAGCATGCCTATTCCTAATGTTATTAGAGCTATCGTTTGCTATCATTGTTCTTCTGACTACAGCGCGCGCTGGCCAGACCCTGGTGTTTTGTAAGGTCAGCCGTTGCCAAAGATGAAGCACGAACTTCAGGACCCCGAGGCTCTCGACGAGGTTGGCTAGGCAGCCCGGATGCAACTCCGAAATTTTTCGGCTGCGCCACGCATACACTGCAATTTCGTGCGCGCACTGGGGGGGATATACAGCGCTTTCTACTCCAGGAAAGCCGGTCATCTGAGGTATCTCCTTGTCGCCTGACTGCAAGAAGATGGTTTCTGGAGAGAGGATGCGCCTGTGAAAGAAGCTGCATCTCTTGCAGTGGCTGCATCGAATCAGATGTAATTAGGTGACAGCAAGCGGGCAAGCAAAGGGTTTAGGATTTGGGGTTTAGGGTTTAGGGATGCTTTCTTGAGGTCAAGTGTACTTGCATCTCCGGCCACGGCCGATGAGGCCTGCGCATGCTGTGAATTGGACTGGCCCCCTGGCTACCCTGAGCTTGTCTAGGGTTTAGCGTTTAGGGCATAGGTTCCTGTTATAAGGAGCTCAGAGGAGTTTCCAGAACAGGGTTATCCATTTTTTTTTTTGAATCATGTAAAGGGTGTCCAGCCACGGATTGAGGTAATGCTTGCCATGGTGTCTTGGGCAGTGGGGGCCGATGGAGGTCATGGCAGCACGGGCAGCAGCCAGGTAAACTACACTATGCTTGCAGGAGGATCTTGAATTCTAACAGGTGGAGGCTGGCTGCGTGAACGGGAAGAAGCACGGAACCGAAGAGGGAGGAGAGGGAGGAGAGGGAGGAGAGGGAGGAGAGGGAGGAGAGGGAGGGGAGGGAGGGGAGGGGAGGGAGGGGAGGGAGGGGAGAGGGGAGGGAGAGAGGGAGAGGGGAGGGAGAGGGGAGGGGAGGGGAGCAGGGAGGAGAGGAGGAGGACGAGGGGTAGTATCCTTGTTTATGGAAACCTGTTGCAGAAAGTTGAAGAGCTGGTCAGCTTCTGGTTGGGCCCACCAGCAATCCTTCTGCTTGGGCAAAATCCCAGACTTCCGCCATCGTCCTTGGTACAGGCACCACACTACTAAGGTGGGCCCTTATTCCCTGCCTTGAGGGTTTAGGTTCCCTTGTAGGCCCCTTTAAACCCAAAAAGGGCACCCAGTCATTCCTAGGTTACCCTTGGGCCTGGACTGGCGCCTGCTAGGATTTCAAGAGTCAGTTGAGCCCAGGTGTGGCTGTGGCGCAAAATGCGTCGATTGCCATGCCTACCTCTCCTCGAGAGGTCAGCGGGGATGCTTTGTGCAATAAGTAGTGAAGTTAGCAGGGTTTAGGATTTAGGGTTTAGGGTTTGCAGTTGCAACAGAGTCATAGTACCGTGATCCTGTAGCAATATCGAACCAAACTGATGCTAGTGCGACGCTGGGAGGCTTCTCGCTCCCGGCGGATGCGTCCAGCGCGGTGCGAAGTCGAGGATGGTCCGATAAGCTGCGTGCCCCGGGTTTAGGTTCACTTCAAGCCCTATAACTCCATTTAGAGCAGGGTTCGCAGCCCAGAATCTGGGTGGGGGCGGGGGAGGTGGTCGGCGGGCTGGAACGTTGAAAACGGCAAAGACCGGCCTCTTTCTTGCTATCTACCGGGAAATCTCCTGTTCAGCGATTGGTTGACGGTGTCTTTTTCCATATGACAAAGCCCGCAACCTCCCCAAAGCCTAGAAGCTAAATACCGAAGAAGCCCTCCCCATGTAACCCCTCGAGTCCATCACAACCCCTAGTGGCCCTTAGAACCCCAAGTGCTGCTTATAACCCTTAGTGTCCCGTTTCCCTTCTTTAACGACTATTTGCGCTAGAACCCCCTCCCCCCCCCCACAAAGCATGAGATCATAATGCCTGTGCTACTCTTATAAGGAAGGTTTATTAATTGTTTGGGGGGGTTCTTAAGCAAATAGATCCCCTTCTGAGCTGCTAGAATCCCGAACTTAGGCCCAGAATAGGCACCTTAGTCTATGTTTTTTGTTTTTTCTTTGGGGTGGGGGGAGGGGTTAGTTGAATGCGGCCCTTATGAGGAAGATCTTTGTTTTATTGAGTAGTAGTTCAAACCTGAATACATGCGCTCTTGCCTCCAGGAATGTCGGATTGGGCCGCGGCCGTCGATTGGCAAAACGCAGAAGCCCCGCAATGGCGGCCAGTGCAACGAGACCAGGCCATCAGGGTTTAGGGTTTAGGGTTTAGGGTTTAGGGTTTAGGGTTTAGGGTTTAGGGTTTAGGGTTTAGGGTTTAGGCTTAGGGTCTAACTCGGGTTTAGGGTTTGAGGACTTATGGGGCCTTTTCTGGGTTTGCAGGGCTTATGTGCGTGTAACCTTGTTCAGGGCGCATTGCTCATTGCAGTCGCTTGCGCTTGGATACATGCAGCGTGCGGAGCTCTCAGGCCCATCCGTTGTCTGTCACACTTAATTTACTAGGAATCGATCATAAGGCATTCGCTTGGATGAATGTTTTCTCTTTTGCTAGAAGCACCGCATGTGTCAGCCCCCCGGAAAGAGCAGCAACAACATCATGGCTGAATTGCAGGGTGCATGCCGCAGAGCATAGACAGCTTTATTGCCAAATCCTCATGCCCAGCTTGCGAAAGCCTAGCATGTAGTCCTGCTAAACCCTAAACCCTAAACCCTGAACCCTAAACCCTAAACCCGAAACATGGTTTTGGGTTAGATTGTTTTGCAGGTCGCGGCAGGCCAGTCGAAGTTGCTCGGCACGAAAACGCGCAGCGCATGTCATGCAGACGTTGTTTGGTAGGTTTGAGAATGCGCCTTGCTTACATCATCCCGTGCTCATACACCCAATAGGGTTTAGGGTTTAGGGTTTAGGGTACCTTAAACCCTAAATCGCCTCCAAGCCTACAGCCCAAGCCAGCACCGCACAACTCCCGAGGCCACAGGGGACAGCGCTCTGAAAACCCCACAACCCCCAAACCACTAAACCTTAAACCCCTAAATCCCCAGACCACTAAACCACTAAAGCACTAAACCCCTAAACCCCTAAACCCTAAACCCCTAAACCCCTTCACCCCTAAAACCCCCTAAGCCCCTAAACACTGTAAGTCCTCGCCCAAGGCGCGTAGTTGACCGTGAGTTTGATCAGCGCAACACTTACCTGGTGGGTCAGGGTTTAGGGTTTAGGGTTTGGGGTTTAGGGTTTAGGGTTTAGGGTTTAGGGTTTACGGGTTTACGGGTTTCTTGAGCTCTAAGTCAGAGAATTTTGGGAAATTTAGGGTTGAGGACTTTTAGGGTTGGGGACTGAGAGTTTGGGGCTTATGGTTTTGGGTGTTTAGGGTTTAGGATGCTTCGAACTCATGTCCAAGCATAAAAGTATGGGGCTCATGAACTAGAGAACCGCGGCAGGATTGTAGAGACGCCCTAGCAGGAGAACAAGTTCAAGGTTTGGGGTTTGGTGGATTGGGTTTGCGGTTCGGGTCTGGGTGGGGGGGTCGGGGGGGGGTGGGGGGGTGGTGGGGCCAGTTTAGCGACAACCTGGGCGGTCCTTGGGTGGTGGGGGGGGGTAGGGTTTTTTCCAAAAGAGCCCCTATGCCCTGTGCGAAACCGCCTATGGTCCATGAGTTTACGCGGTGTGGGTGGCCTGTTCCTCCACGGAAAAGCTGCCGGGGCCTACCCCCCCCCCCCGCCCCCTCCCCCCCGCGTTTTGGGGGGTAAGGAAGGAAAGAGGGAGGTTTTCACCTCCAGAAACCCATCCAACACGCCGCCAGGGTCGGCGGACTCTAAACCCTAAACCCTGGAAAGCCCTAAACCCCAAAACCTAAAACCTCCTACCCCTAAACCCTACCTCTGCCCTAGGCTTCCGGGCGCTGGACGTGGGCTCTTTGCGCGGGAGAGACTGGCGAAGAGGGCGGTGCTCCCACCATACAAGGCCTTTCTGAAACGGTTCTCAAACATGGTGGTTTAGGGTTTAGGGTTTATGGTTTTTTGGGGTTTAGGGTTGCTCCATATGATGGCCCCCGCTTTGGGGTACCCTATTGTCCTTTTTAACAGGCTCCGTACTTCTTTCTTGGGAGCCCAGAAATATTGAGAAGCCCCGCACCATATGGTAATAGGAAACACCAAAAGGGTGACCAGTTTTTGGGGTCCTTACAAAGGGGATCAGAGTATAGGGCTCACATAGACTGGAATTTGGGTTTTGTGTTTAGGGAAACCCCCGATTTGGGGAAATGCCCATTTAGGGTTCCGGGTAGGGGCTCGGAGCGGAGTGAGGGGGGAGGAGGTACAATCAGGGTAGGAATAGTTACTAAGAGTGTTCCCTTCTGGTTCCTTTATAGTTATACTGTGATAACCCCCAAGACACTTAGTCTAGTCATTGAGGCCCCTAGATCATTCTGTTCATTGGGATGGTATCATCAGGAAGGTATAAGAAGAGCCCTGAATGCAGTGTTCCGGACCGTGATGATTGGGAAAGAGGATGTTGGGTTAGTCTTTTGTAAGCCTCAACCCTGAAACCTAAACCTAAGCCCCAAACCAAAACCCAAAACCCAAAACCCTAAACCCAGAACCTAAACCCTAATGCGGCCTCTTGCGACTGTCTCGCTGCCTTGGCCGCTTTGGCAGGAAAGCTTGGCAGCCCAGGGGTACCCCGTTGCCCCGTTTTTTTTGTTTTTTAAATTTTCTGGTTCTTTGGTGACCCTCCTAAAATGTACCCCCCCCCCCCTCCACGAAAACTGAGGAAAATGAGGTACTTAAAATGCTAAGATGGTTGCTGCGTTACCAAGAAAGCAAGCCGCGGCCACAGCCTTCTTGGCCCTGAAAGGAAGACGCAGGTCTTGAGACGGCGCGGCAAATTCAACCCAGAGTCGTAAACCCATCAGAAAAACCCTAAACCCTAAACCCTAAACCCTAAACCCTAAACCCTAAACCCTAAACCCTAAACCCTAAACCCTAAACCCTAAACCCTTGACAGGGCCAGCTGCAGAACATCCAAGCGGTGACTCGCACCTCTGATGCACGTCGTGCAGGAGCCTAAATTGCCACCCGCGGGTTAGGCCGGGGGCTTGCATTCCCCTGTTGTTTTAGAGCCAGGTTCCCCTGTATGCAGAAAGAAAGCTTACCCTTTTTTTTTTCGCCCTCTAGGACCCGGCAACATAAAGGCTTTAAGGGGTTTAGGGCTGAGGGCGAGGGGGGAGGGGGGGGGGGAGGTGGCCCATTATCTTGTGCAGGAGTGCAAGCCACGGCAACAGTTCTCGTCACATGCACTGCTTCGCATCGCCTCGTGGTTTCGGGAGTTTTCTTGGGCTTTCAGGACATGTCAGATGATTCCATTGGGATGGGGTGGGGTGCAGGGGGGGGGAGGGGGGGGGGGGGGGGGGGGGGGTGATATTGACGTCGGTGCTAAGTATTATCTTACGCAGGAGTGCAAGCAACAGTAGCTGTTCTTGCCGCAAACACTGCTTCGCATCCAAGACTATGTGTGGCGACTAGTTATGTGTGGCGATGATAACCGTCATAATCATGATGATGATGACGATAACCACGATGATACTGATAGTGGCAAACACCAGGATGGGCTATTAGACCCTATAACCCCTTAAAAAGGCCCTCTATAGGGTTGATTATGGGGATTATAAGGCCTAGTAGCCCATCCTGGCATCTTCGTAAAAAATGCAGTCGCTCCTGCGCGGGTTTCTTCGTGGCTTTACAAGTAGACCTGTGCAGAAACCCCCACGCTTCGGCGGCCCATCGAGCCACCGGGCGCTCCATGCGCCAGCGCCCAATGGTTTAGGGTTTAGGGTTTAGGGTTTAGGGTTTAGGGTTTAGGATGGTTTAGGGTTCTAAGAAGGACCTCCAAATAGTAGTGCTTGGTAGCCCAGTGGTACCTTTTCCTTTTTTTGGTTCTGGTTCCCTTAGAAAGTAACCAACCAAAAACAGGCTGCCCTTAATATAATGTGGTCAATGGGCTGCTAAGGTAGGATCCCCTTACAGAAAGGTACCCACATCAGCTTGTCAACTGCGTTGTGCAGTGAGTTGAGCTGTTGCTTTCCGTTCGGTGCCTCTTGGTCGGGGGCGTGAGAACGACAAAATCCAGACCCATCCAGACGGAGCGTTGCTAATGTTTGTGCAAGGAGATGTGGATTTGCCTTCCGTGACTTGCGAAGGTAAACCCCAAAACCCTAGACCCTACACTCTCAACCTGAAACCCTAAACCCCAAACCCTAAACCCTGTGCATGTGTTGAAGTACTTACACTCTAAACCCTATACACCTTACACCCGAAACTCGAAGCCCTGGGACCCAGGTGGTGGAGCCTACGTTTGGTGTCCGCAAACTTCGAGCGGTGGTACTGCGGCAGCTTTCTGCATCCCGGCGCCCTTTTTTCGACTGGGGCCCTGAACCCTAAACGCTAAACCCTAAACCCTAAACCCTGGGGTTTAGGGCTTTTGTTTGGGGCTCCGCCGGCGGGGGTCCACACAGGACGTGCCTTGGAGCAATAAGCAGCTCTAAGAATTTTAAGTCCTAATTCCCAAACCTTCCTTAACCCAGATGGGTTTACGCAAGTCCTTGATAGGGATTATAGCACCCCTAAGTATACCCTGTGAATGCAGGACTGTTAGTATAAGGGGGAACGTCCCAAATGGTATTGAAAGGTCCGGTAGCTTTGCGTTGCACTGAGCGGAAGGTGCCATGGGAATCACGTGCATCCCGGGCCATCCCTTCTCTTGTTTGGCGATAGTAGGGATCAAGTCCAATGCGTTTTTTTGTGTGCAAACTCCGTAAGACGATAAGGAGCATACTCTGCATGTTGACGTTTGCAAGTGTAAGGGATTGGTAGCGGTAGCGGGGGTTCTTGCTGCGCCATGACACCTCAGAGCAACCTGAACATGCTGACCCTGTACCTAGAACTTGTGAACTTGTGAACTAAAGGCATGCATCACCAATCGAGGCCTTCATCTCTATTGATGTGCCTAATCGCAAAAGTGCGCTTAGGTATGGATGCGGCGGCTGATGACCCCGAGAATCCTGCCCGGCTCATCAACGCGGCTGCCAACGAAGAGCAGTGCAAGCAGGTCGGGATCAGGAAGGGCACAAGAAGCACAAACCCTGTAGGTCATCGCTTGGAAGCGCTTTTCGTGAAAAGTGTACAGAGTCTGAGGTGTGCGGCCGGAACCAAGCTGGGCTTTGCTTGTCACTCAGTGCCCTCTCTGTGGGTGATTTCGCCCCTGGAGGTCAACACGGAGATCTGCCAGCTGGGAAACGTCCTTTATTTCCGCACGCTGCAAGAAGTGCCGGCAGGGACAGAATTGGTGACGGACTATGGTCGGTTGCTTACTTGACGCGAGACACAGGTAGCAGCGGCTGATGGATCTAACCTCAGAGATATTCTCCAACCCCTAAACCCTAAACCCTAAACCCTAAGCCCTAAGCCCTAAACCCTAAACCCTAAACCCAATTCAGGCTACAGCTACTGGCCAGACTTCGACTCTTGCCAGCTCGCGACAGCCAATGACCTTATGGCTCGGCTTGAAAAGAGATCGTCACGATGAAAAGCCTGCGATTCTTGAGGTTTAGGGTTCAGGGTTTAGGGTTTAGGGTTTAGGGTATAGGGTTTCAAGTGTAGGGTTTCGGTCAGTTCGAAGACGAAATCAGACGCTAGTTTGAGGGCAGGTATCTTCTTTGCCTACGCCGTAAACCCTAACCCTGAGCTTAAACCTTGAAGCCACATATATCCTCATAGTCCCTAAGATTGCCCGACCGGCATGGCAGTGGGCACTGCTGCACCGGGAGACCCCCGACCTGAAGTTATTGACCAGCTCAGGATTTCATTGTGGGACTTGGAAGGGCCTAGAGAAGCCGAAAATGCCGGGGAAAAGGGGAATTGTTGGGCCCATTAACCCTAAACCCTAAACCCTAAGCCCTAAACCCTAAACCCTAAACCCTAAACCCTAAACCCTAAACTCGCTCGTCGCTCTTTTCAAGGCACCTTGGTTCACTCAGGCAACTCTGAGAGTCCTAGGGTTGAAGGATCAGGGGACTTAGAAAGCTGGGTTTTAATTGGGGCAACTATAGATACAATTACTTAGAGAACCCCCAATTAGGGTACTTATAACCCTACTTACTAAGTCCCATGATTCCCCAAGTAGGGTTGAAACTATCGGTTCCTTGTCACGGTGCAAAAAGGCTCCTACTCCAAGAATTCCCAGACGTGACATCAGAAGACCGAAGGGAATTCGGTAGTTGCCTTGTATCCCTATATCTACCCTTAAAGGATTATATATGGTAGTCCACCTAAACCCTAAACCCAAACCCTAAACCCTAAACCCTAAACCCTAAACCCTAAACCCTAAACCCTAAACCCTAAACCCTAAACCCTAAACCCTAAACCCTAAACCCTAAACCCTAAACCCTAAACCCTAAACTAAACCCTAAACCCTAAACCCTAGGGGGGGATATGGGATATGATACAAGGTACCTAATTCCCGCATACCCTGCTAAGAACCAGTAAGTGTCTCCAGACCCCTGACGCCTGCCACCCATACCTCCCCCCCAGAAACCAATATCAACCCCAAGCCCACCCTAAACCCTAAACCCTACACCCTGAGCCTTAAACCCCAAACCTTATATCTTTAAGTATTATTAAGCCTCAAGGTCAGTAGTCGACAAGGCACAAGGCTTCGTCGACAAGGCACAAGGCGTTGACACGGCACAAGGCTTCGTCGACAAGGCAAGCTTTGCCTTGTCGACGAATGACCTCAAGGTTCAGGACTGAGGCCTTGATGTCATTCGCCAGCAAGGCACAAGGCTTCGCCGACAAGGCACGAGGCTTCGGCGGCAAGGCACAAGGCCTCCTCCCCCTTTATGACCCCACCTAGGTCAGGAGACATCCCCCCAAAAAACCTTCGGAAACCGCTCAAACTGAATCACTCCCGGTCTGAGAAAGGCTGGGCAAGGCCCGTTTCTTCGTGGGCAAGGCTCAAATCTTCGTGGGCAAGGCCCGACTCTTCGTGGGGCAAGACCCACATCTTCCTGGGCAAGGCCCAAATTGGCCAAGGCTTGGGGTGCTTTAAGACTGAACCTAGTAGTAGAGTAGGTAACCTTGAACCTTTTTGGGGTAGTAGAATCCCCTTGTAATCCCAAAGGGTCACCTTGAATCCCCCCAGGTGACTGGACAACTAAGGTATGGAGCCGAAGGTATATGGATTGGGTGGACCTCACATCTTCCTCATGGTATGAGATCCACAGGGTGGGTGGGTAGGTGTTCAAACCGAAGTCGCGAGCTGAACCCTAAACCTTAAACCCTAAACCCTAAACCCCAAACCCCAAACCCTAAACCCTAAACCCTAAACCCTAAACCCCAGCAGGCCCTAGGAGCCTTGCTGGAAGCCTGAGCCCCGCACTGTCTGAGGCCGCACCACTGAAGCAATTTGGGAGACCGGGCCCCTCTCCTCGCGCCTTGCCTTCAGGGTTTAGGGTTTAGGGTTTAGGGTTTAGGGTTTAGGGTTTAGGGTTTAGGGTTTAGGGTTTAGGGTTTAGGGTTTAGGGTTTAGGGTTTAGGGTTTGGGGTTTAGGGTTTAGGGTTTAGGGGTTAGGGGTTAGGGGTTGGGGTTAGGTTTTATGGTTTGGGTTTAGGGTTTAGGGGTTTAGGGTTTAGGGTTTTGGGTTTAGGGTTTTTAGGTTTAGGTTTGGAGGGTTTTATAGGGTTAAGGGTTTAGTGTTTAGGGTTTAGGGTTTAGGGTTTAGGGTTTTAGGGTTTAGGGTTTAGGGTTTAAGGGTTTAGGGTGTAGTGTTTTATGGGTTAGGTTTTGCGCTGGGGGGGGGGAGTCGGATAGGGCGGGGAAGGGGCGGATTTTCGATGTTCCTCTTAGTTAGGTTTGTGTCTTGTTTGGTGGACGGGAGGGGGCTCAACTAGCCACTGCAAGTTCCTCCATGTTACAGGAGCTGCTTTGAAGATCATCTGTGGAAGTTTGGGCCTAACCCTAAACCCTAAACCCTAAACCCTAAACCCTAAACCCTAAACCTGCGGGAGTCATGAAGTATCACGGGTGCCCGCAGTGGCCATCTGTGCCGTATGGGCCCTCAAGCAAGATCATGGGACACAGTGTGCCTCGCCTGGCGTGTCCGAGTGTGAGGGGGTGCCGCGTCGACTTCCCTGCTGTGCGATGTTATCATCAGCTAGGCGGGTGGCAAGAACAGACCCTAAACCCTAAAACTCTAAACCCTACAACCCTAAGACCCTAAAATCCTAACCCCCAAGCCCTAAACCCTAAAACCCTAAACCCTAAGCCAACTCTGAAGCCCAGGATCATCCAGAGACTGCTCACGGCGGGGCCCCAGGATTTTGAAGAGCTGGTGCGTGCCAACTGGCCACTCGAACTCATGGGTTTAGGGTTTAGGGTTTAGCGTTTAGGTTTAGGGTTTAGGTTTTAGGGTTTAGGGTTTAGGGTTTAGGGTTTAGGGTTAGGGTTTAGGGTTTAGGGTTTAGGGTTTAGGGTTTAGGGTTTAGGGTTTAGGGTTTAGGGTTTAGGGTTTAGGGTTTAGGGTTTAGGGTTTAGGGAAGCCCGAGGCCTGCTGCAAAAAGGAATTTAGGGAAGCAGGGGGTGGTCCTTTCGTCAGCTAGAACCCAGGGGTTGCTGGTTCCTGAACTTAAGGCACCGTAAGGGTGTAGGATTTAGGGTTTAGGGTTTGGGGTTTGGGGTTTGGGGTTTAGAGTTCCTGAGCTTAGGGTACCTTACCAGAGATAAGGGAGCCCTACGATCTCGCCCTGGCAGACTTCAGGTCCAGGTTGCCAAGTCTAAGGAAGCCCCTACTCTCTAACCCTAGCAGAGTGTGGCTCAACCAGCTGAGCGGGTTGCGACGGGTGGCTTCATATCCACGCCCATGGACGAAAGTACCACTGCAGACCGTGGCTTCAGACTGGAGGCTCCAGGCTCCACGATACCTGAGGTATACCCTAGGGTTTAGGGTTTAGGGTTTAGGGTTTAGGGTTTAGGGTTTAAGGGTTTAGGGTTTAGGGTCCTAATGCAAATACCCGGGAATGTTAGTCTCCCCATGTTCAAAGAGAGGATTCAGAAGCATCAAGTAACCCTAGTAGTATAAACCCTATTAACCCTGATATAAGCCCTGCAAGCCCCAATATATGCCATACTATCCCCAATATAAACCCTGAATATGAACCCTATAATCCCTATACCCTTTGCCTGCTTCAGCGAGGTCGAGAGTCGAAACCCTGAACCCTAAACCCCGAACAACCCTTCCTCGAGCCGAGGAAGATGTTCGATCGAGGTTTCTACTTCCGGCTGTACAACCTGCGGGAGCGTCCTCCAAGTGATGCTACCTGAGTGGGCCCCCGAAGTTGTCCCGACCTGAACCCTAAACCCGAAACCCTAAACCCTCAACCGTGGGTCCGGCTGCGGGACCGGCGGGACCTATACTCGCCTAGGGGGTTTTCACAAAAGTCACCGCCTTGAGCCTCCCTCAATCAGTTCAGGGTTTCATCCTGCCAAAGAAAGCTCTATAGCACGCTGTGGTGGTGCACAGGAGGGTGTGTTTGCAAGCGACCACTTTGCGCAGCCAATGGTCGCTATGCCCACCCTAGTGACCCCAGTGCGGGTCGTTCCATTGAGAGGAGAGCTGGAGTAGCCCAAGTCCCTGGGAGGGTCCAAAATTCGGGTTTAGGGTTTAGGGCTATGAAACCCACCGACTACTATTAGGTCATTCTTTAAAGCCCTGAAAGGGATCTAATTTCCGGGGTCTGGGAGTGTGTCGCAGCCCAAAAGGCTGGGCCGTGGAGTTGAGTGGCTGGCAGGAAGACTGTGAGGACCCCGCGCTCAAGCAGAAGATGGCGAACATGGAGAAGTATACGCTGGCTCCTTGACTACCCTGATGCTGTCACTTTCGAAATTTCGGTTTTTGGGGGAGTTCGCGACCTTAAGTAGAGTCGGCTGAGGGGGTGCTTGCAACGTGGAGGTCTAGTTCTGCACCAATCGGCCACATGCATTCAGGAGCTGATTCAGAAGGCGCAAGAGCAGACCCGCGCCTGGTCCCAAACTGTGAGGCTGGGATGTTCCCCCTTTTACTAACAGTCCTTAATGTGGATTATGGTAGGGGGTAAGATTAATCCCTATGAAGGACTGACAGCGTAAAGGGGAACCATCCCAACTGTGAGGGTGTCAGTGCCTTGCATATCGATCTGTCCCACGGTGGTCTAGGGGTTCAGGGTTGAGCATGTGCTTGTAGATCAACTTTGCCAGTGAAGAGGGGCGAGCCAAACTGCAAAATTTTGCGTGTCACTGCAAAGAGCTGGCCAAATTGCCGAGGGTTTCGCTCAAAAGGGTTTAGGGGGAGGAGGGATTTGAGGCAAGCCTTCGCACTGGCGCCAAGCCTTGGATACCAAGGGAAGAAGCTGCCCGAGAATGATGCAGATGCCCAGGCTATCCTCGTCACGATGTTAGAGGACGGGGGTGGCCTGTGCTTGTCATTGAGCTTTCCTCAGGTGGGGGGCTGCATATAGGGCGTCAACTATAGATATCAAGGGCAAGCAAGTGTCTTGGATGTGCAGCATCGAAGCTTGTAGAATGTGTCTACAGTGTTGTGGTCATAGCACTTTCCGCGAGCTCGCCTCAAATCGCAGGAGGATTCGCAGAGCCTTTGGCTGGGATTGGGGAGGTCAAAGCGAAGAGGTCGAATCTGAGTTCTGGGTTCTTTTGGCACCGTAAACTGAAAGGAATGGCTTAATTGGGAGTTGAGGGTATAGGGGTTATGGAACGCAAAAAAGGAGCAATACTTTCCATCAACCCCCCCACATCGAGGGCCAGGTACAGGACCTTGCAGGACGTGGTTCTGCTTCAATGTTACTTCGGATATGCTGGGCTGGTTGCAAGATACTGACCCCTATGATTACGACCTGCCTATCACAGGGTCGTATAGGCTCCATATTTCGAGGGTCAGTCCAACTACGTGTGGCTGGCAGAAGAAACCCTTCAGGCTTCGCATTTTGGTGGGGTGCAAAGGGTTTGGGGTTCAAAAGGCGTGTTGGGGCTCCCTAAACCCTAAACCCTCAGCTTCTGGTGGTACCTTGAGCATACAAGTTCGGGCGGCGTCCTGAAACCCCGAGCAACATGAGCAACTCCCGCAGAGGAAGGCTGCAAGAAATGGTGTGCCCCCGGAATGGAGTGCAAGTATACGACGCGGGGGATTGCCTGGAACTGTATGCGTTGCCCTTCGGGTATTGACATGTACGAAGGTTTGTTGATCGATCTATCTCACGTGGCAACCCGTAGAACGCACACAGGCCTGGAATTGCTTGAAGTTCATCACCAGCAAGTAGTTCCCTCTGAAGTAGTCCCCGCCGCGTTGGTGCATGTGCTGAGTGGGTGGCAAAAACAACCCTAAGCCCTGTGTGGCTTGTCTGCTTGGCAGGTGGCCACAAAAGCCCTAACCCTTACGAGGTTTAGGACCAAGCTCCTATGACCTAGCTTGCAGCTTAGGACTCTTCTCTGGCCGCCTCCGCCAGAGGCCTATGCTCGTTTGGCAGAGGCGCCTGCCTTGCAACGGCGAAAATTCCCGCGTTGGTTCACTGGAGCAAGATGCAACTTAGGGTTCTAGGGTTTAGGGTTTAGGGGTTAAAAAAAAGGGTTTAGGGTTTAGTCTCGTGCTAGCCTTTCGGTGATGAGACCTAATAAGCCGATCACACAGGAGATCACCAAGCGGGCCACGAGGTCCAAGTATGAGGCGGGATCTGGGGCGGGGGGCCTGCACGGCCTGTAGGGCCTTTTGGAGGGCTTAGGTTCCCGAAATGGCGTACAAAGGAGTTGGTGTCTGGGAGTCTGGGTTGCGTTGAACCCCTAACCCCTAAAGCCTGAACCCTAAACCCTAAACCCTAAACCCTAAACCCTAAACCCAAGATGCACATCTGCGGAGGATGGCTGGTTCGAGTCGCTCGTGGAGATCTGCGAGAGCTTCGGAGCAAAGATGCAGGCCGACTCGGGAGGTAAGAAGTTCGCGTGGAGTGGTTCCCAAGCATACGACAGTTTGATACAAAAGGCTTGGGGTACCCTAAACCCTAAACCCTAAACCCTAAACCCGAAACCCTAAACCCCAAGCGACTTAACCCCTATTCCTTGGGGTTCTGCCGGGGCTTGGCTGCCGCTTCTAAGGCTCGAAGGGGTGGACTCTTTTACACTTGGGGGCAATGAGTTGCAAGTTCTGCTGGCGACTCCAAACCCTAAACCCTCAAATGCCCTAAGGCTTAGTGTTAGGGTTTAGGGTTTAGGGTAACCCTGAACCACCCCGTTTGTTTGGTGTTGAGAGTGGTACCTCAACGATGGCCTAGCTGGCAGCTCATCAGGAAGGATGTGGAAGGTCCGTAGGACGAAGTTGTTCAACGAAAGCCGTGCGAGAGCTGCAGTTCCTGAATCTCACGAATTGGACAAGCTAACGACAGAACCTGCAGGAAAGGTGCAAGAATGCAACAGTCGCTAGAAAATGCCAAAAACACTCACTCATGGGGCCTGAAGCGGGAGCTGTTCGAAGATGCCGCTTGCAATGACCTATGATAAACGGGCACCCGAAAGCGAAGCCAAATGTAGAACAGTTCCTATGCTGCCCGGTGTTTGAAACCCTAAACCCCAAACCCTAAACCCTTACGCTTCCGACACGGGTGGGAAAAAACCCTAAACCCTAAACCTTAAACCCTAAACCCTAAACCCTATTTTCGGAAACCCTCATGCTTCTCTGAGGCTAAAGGAGAGACACAGATGCTTGGCATGTCGCAGATCGTCATGCAGCGGCTGGTCACGGAGTGGCTTCGGCACGACAGCATTTGGGAGGCGTGCCGGCTTTCTGCATTGGGTTTAGGGTTTAGGGTTTAGGGTTAGGGTTTAGGGTTTAGGGTGTTGCTGTGTCCGCACCTTGTTATAACGAGATGTTCTGTGAGCAGTTGGTACGTGCGTCGGAACGCAGGAGACGGCAGAAGGTAGATTCCTCTTCCGGCTGATGAGCATCACTCATGAGCAGTGGGAGTCTCAGCGGCTTGGAAGCAGCTTCTGCCTTATGGTTTCGCCCATGGCCCAAATCTCAAACCTACTCCCACAAAAGCAACGGTTTAGGGTTTAGGGTTTAGGGTTTAGGGTTTAGGGTTTAGGGTTTAGGGTATAGGGTTATGATGGCTGTAAGGTTCCATTTAGGGGCCTCAGGAGCCTCAGAGCTGGGAGGCTGTGGAGATCCGGGTTCCAGGAAGCCCAAGGCTCAACAGGCCCCAGGGTTTAGGGTTTAGGGTTTAGGGTTGGGGGTTTAGGGTTTAGGGTTTAGGGTTTAGGGTTTAGGGTTCAGGGGTCTTTCTGCTGTACTTGGGGAGGTTCATGGTACTTATGAACCAACGATAGCTGTACTTAGAACACACTTTACAAGCACCTTTAAGTGCCCTAATAAGGCTGTAAGTACAGTGGTTGATAAGCAATTACCATGAACCTCCAAGTAGCTGAGGTACATGCAAAAAATACAAATGTTTATGAGGCATATTTTCCATAATTGGTAAATAAGCAATTGCCATCTTCCTCCAAGTAGCTGAGGTACATGTATGAGCAAGAGCCTGTGGACCCAATGAAGTTGCGTGAGGAGATCAAGCTCCTTGGAGGGATTTGGATCAAGTTTGGACCACGGCTCTTAGGGAAGTTTAAGGTCTAGGGTTTAGGGGTTTTGGGTTTGGGGGTTCAGGGTTTAGGGTTTAGGGGTTTAGGGTTAGGGGTGCGTCAGGCAGGTTGCTACGCAAGGAGTAGTAGGGGATCTTGCAGCAGTCGGGCCCTCTGCCATGACAATTGCACGTCAGAAGCAGGGGGCCCAAAATCCAGCGGCAACCAAGCACCCTAAACCCTAAACCCTAAACCCTAAACCCTAAACCCTAAACCCTAAACCCTAAACCCTAAACCCTAAACCCTAAACCCTAAACCCTAAACCCTAAACCCTAAACCCTAAACCCTAAACCCTAAACCCTAAACCCTAAACCCTAAGCTTGCCAAGGATCGTCAGCGAGACCAAGGCAAGCTTCTCGTGCGTTTGCGGGGGCGCCCATGTGAACTGCTAGGGTTTCCACGGCTTCGGGTTGAACTTCCTGCAAAGCAATAGCTGGCACTCGCAGGCCAAAATCTGGCTCAAGGCCATAAACGGCCCAAGGTTCCTATAAATCGGAAAATAAATTTAATTTTCGCAGCATGGCCTATGGTCTGTCGGCCGTGAAGTTGGAGAAGGCCATCATGAACCTCGAGATGCGCCTGCATGAGGAGTTCCGGAAGGATGTTTCCCGGCAGGTGACAAAGCAGATCAAGCCGTACCTTATCCCCTTTTGGATTCTTTTTTAATGTTTGTTACTTTTTAAAAACCCAAGAGGACATTCAAAGTATTAGTTCAATTTGAGGTTCCAAAGCTCAGTATAGGTACGTCCAGCAGATCAAGGCCCTCCAGTCCCAAGTCGAAAGTCTCAGCGCCCGCCAGGGCTCCAAGACGACCTCTTCCCCACCGCAGCCAAGTGTGGAGCCCGAGCATCTTCGTCATAGTTGGGTATCATTTTGCATCTTTATCCAAAAAGGCATAACAAAGCAATTTTTTTTTACATCTTTATCCAAAAAGGAATCGCAAAGCAAGTTTTTTTTTATATTCTCCCAACCATGCATGAACTAGGCATGGGGCTCAAGAATTGCTTCACGTGGACCTCGACACATTGCTAACAGAGGGCGAAGCCAATGTGGACGCTATATCCCTCTTGGGAAATGTTTTTGTTTTTTACCTTTGTTCATGCCCTAAACCCTAAACCCTAAACCCTAACCCTAAACCCTAAACGCCTAGAGGATGAGAACCTCAGTGACAACAGTGAGCGGCCCCAGCAGCCATGTGTTTCGATCGACATCGGCGACTTGCTCCAGAAGGAGGGTTCAGGGCAGCCCGGAATGAAGGCCGACCATGAGAAGGTGATCGATCAGAGCCTGGGCCTCAACTCCAACGACTCCAAGGGTATGTTGGATCCTGAGATCGTGGAAGAGCCAGTGGCGTTCCTCGAGACGGCCTGGAACCTGGTCCCTTGAGAATACTTGGGAATAGTTTTAAAACGTTTTTGGGGGTACTATGCAGTGATTGTAAACGCTTGCGCGCGCGCGCTGCCTCGGCAGCATGCAGTATGTGGAGATGATGCCTGGAGGCGCCGCTGCTCCAAGCGATCGGGGGGGGTCTCCCACAGGGCGGGGGGGGGGGTGGGGGGCGGGGGGGTCCGTCCCAAAAGGGGGAAGGAGACCGGATCCAGGTCTGCTTGTTCCAGACGCTTCTCGGCAGGAAGCCAAGAAACAGCAACAAACATCACTTTTGCTTAGGGTTCCAAAATCAGTATAGGTCCTTGTCTTGGGCCATACCAATTGCGGCCCGGCGGACCTCATCATCGCTTGCTTTCTCTGGTTGGGGAGCGGCCTGATGCAAATCTCCTTCTTCTTCATCCTTCTCTCGGATGATTTTCTTGGAGAGCCCTTTGGGAATCAGGTGGAGGTTGCGAAAGCATGGCGCGAGTCCATCGCGCACGACTTCAAGCACATGGACCTGGGCGACGAAAGCCTCGTTTCCCGAGTGTGCAGGGCCGATCGCACGCTGATTCTGTCGACTTCGCAGATGCAGATGCTGGACCAGATCAATGCCTTCCTCGGCCTGGGCAAGGAGGAGTTCGAAGCGCCCTACTTCCAACCCGGCGTTCTGCTCTGCATGATGTGCATCCTGCTCTGGTGTTTGTACCTCCTCAACGAATTCCGACTCGTGCTCTTTTCCTTGGAGGCCGTGTCCCAGGTCCCGCGTGGGCCCCGGACGCAGTGGAGAAGGCGTGGAGGCTTCCAAACGATCTCCTACGGTCGATTTGGTGTCTACTGCTTCATGCGCTTGGCTCGCTTCTTCATCGCCGTGGGCCTCCTCTATGCTGGCGTGCAGTGGCTAGCCGGCACAATCTCTATCACTGAGCTCATCTTGAATGCCGTGGCCTTGTCCGCTGTCTTGCAGATCGACGAGATGGTTTTCGCGGCCCTGATGCCGAAGAAGATCCAGATCTGCATCCAGGACCTAGAGGCAATCAAGGTCCGCTACAGTAAAGGGCGGAGTCAGACGGAGTCCGTCATCCTCGTTGTGGCGATTTCGCTTCTCATGCTGTGGCCGTGGACACACAATGTAGGGCCACTGAGCTGGGACATGTTGGAGGTCAAGCGCCAGTACTGTGGGGGCACTCAGAACTTCGTGGTGGCCGGGAATCAAATCCAGGGGGTCACGGTGGGGCTGGTCACCTCAGAGTATGCCCAGGGTGTCAACCAAACTTCCCTCACTCGCTTCGCTGTGAGGCGGCACATTTGGGAGGAGCCTCTGGGCAGTTCGAACTACATCCGATTCACCAAGGATCGATCCAGCTTCGTGACTGCCAGAGACATGGACATGCATCAGCGCAACACCCATGACAGTCTTTGCATGGACTTTGACGACATCTTCCTGGGCAATGCGACACATGAGCTTCAGGAGTTCTACCGACCATACTTCTACTCGGCCAGCTTCGAAGCAGGGATTCCCGAAGGAGCGAGTTGCGCAGAGATGGCGCACCTCTGCCACTCCCTGGATTCCCAGGCGCGCCTGGTGAGGCACGTGTGTCCCCGCACGTGTGGATGCCACTTGCAGCACACGAATCCACTGCTGAAGCTTGTGGGCGAGGGCTGCTCAAAAGCCTGCTTCACTGAGCAAGAGTACGCGATGCGCTTCTCAGCTTGCAAGGACGTGGACCTTGAGGAGTCACCCCATCTTCGGGAGGCATGGGAGGGGTTCTGGGACAGCTACAAGCCCTTGATGGAGCAGAGGGTGGGGATGAACTTCAGCAGTCCCAGCCTCAGCTTTGTCCCGGACTTCCTGACCTATGTCAAGAAAGTCGGCTGTCCAGGCCTCAGCGTAGTGGCCATCGACCCCGTCACGCGCAGCCCATGGTGTTCAGGCAGCCAGCTGTATTATGGTCCCCTTGCAAACTGGTGCCCGCAGACTTGCGGCTGCCACACCTCGGAAACGCTGCCCACCTGGTGCCCCCGGAGTTGCGAGGGGTGCAAGGACACAGCGAACTTCCCCACCCACATTCGTGTCAGTGACTGTGCACAATCTCTTCAAGCGGGACTTTGTGAGGCCTATCCACTTGAGTCAGCTGTGTACTGCGCAGAAACATGCAACCTTTGCTCCGCCCTTCACAACAACGGGACCATTGATTAGCCGGAAAGCCATGGCCGGCCTAAAGATGGCCATGGCGAGACCACCTCCCGGGGCAGAAGCCGTTTGGGGGAGGGGGTGAAGGCGACAAAGTGAGTGCTCCGAGATAGCCGCTAAACGCACTTTGGAGGCTCAAAGTTTGGGGGGCGGACTTTCCTGAGGCAGAGTTACGTGTGATATGAAGAATTCGCTTTCCACCGCACAGCTTGTTGTCTGGGCTGTTTTTCCTGCAGGCAGCGGATCTGCACCTGATCGGCATGTGGCCCCAGAACCAGCAGCCTTCAACTTGACAAGATCTTCGCCCCCCCCAGCCCCCCGCCCCCCCCTCGCCCCACATGTTGCCGATCGGTGCTATCGTTCCCCCCTGCAACGCGGTGGTTTCAACACTTTAACACTTGAACACTGAAGGCAGCCCTGCTGCTGGTCGGTTACCGTTTCCAGCACAGCGCTGAACCTCTTTGGTGATTCCGGTTCCGGAGAGGTCCCGAGGAGTGCAGCAGGCATGCAACTCGGAGAGTCAATTGTTAGTGACCCAACTTGCTAGCCTCCTGCAGCTTCAGCAAGGTGGGAGGCGAAAACGACGCCTAAACGGGCCCCCCGTTCGGCAGGTGTCAAAAAGAGGGCCTCCCTGCTGTGATCGTTCTTGCAGTTCTTGCGGTTTAGGGTTTAGGGTTTAGGGTTTAGGGTGTGGTCTCAGTGAATCTCTAGTAGTGTGAGTCAGCGTAGTACCTTGCCTGCCTTGCGCGAGTGTGAGCGTCGACGCCCTGAAGCCATAGCCACTAACGTCGAAACGCCTAGAACCTCACAACCCCTTAAACCCTTTAGTGTACCAAAAAAACCCTAAACCCTGAACCCTCTAGCGTACCAAAAAAGACCCTGCACCCTCTAATTTTTAAAAAAAAAACCTAAACCCGGCGATGCCCTCAAGCAGCCAGGTGATCCGATTGCCCATGGGCGCCAAGCTGCAAATCTATGCTGCCAAGCCAGGGCCTCGAAGCTAGGGTTTAGGGTTTAGGGTTTAGGGTTTAGGGTTTAGGGTTTAGGGTTTAGGGTTGAGGGTTGAGGGTTGAGGGTTTAGGAGGATTCTGGCTCAGCAGCCGGTCGGTGACCGAAAGCCCGTTGCAAAAAGGGCTTCGTTTAGAAACCCGGGACGCATAGGCACGCCATAGTGCCCACACCGGCTTGAGGCTGCAATCGTTCACAAAATCCATCAGCAGCTCACATATCGACAAGGCACCAGGCATTCCTTTTTCGGAAACAAGGGGAGTGGGTTGGGATGTTCCCCCTTATACTAAGGGTCCTTAATGGGGATTATTATTGGGGGTACCATAATCCCTACTAAGGACTGTTAGTATACGGGGGAACATCCGCAAGGAGTGGGCCCTCAACCCTTTTGCAACTGGGCTGGGGGACTAGACAGATCCGAGATGCCAATCTTGTCGGTTGAGGCCCTTGCAAGAAGCTCTCTCAGAGTAATGATTGCCAAAAGCTTGCAAAATCGCGAAGGAAAGGTGAGAACCATTAGGATGAAGGTTACTGGACAGACACGCCTAAGCTCTACCAAAAGTGCAAGACGCTCCGCCTTGTGCTGAGCACGTAACCACTCAAGGGAAGCACTTGGAAAAATTCTCATCCCTAGGAGGAAACGGAGTCGATCGCCGAGACACTGAAGAGCGTCACGCATCCCCATTCGGTGACTCAGTTGGCCGGGGTGATGCAGCCAGACGATCAGAGGGAGAGGCTTCACACGGTGTCGCTCCCCAGATGACTCTGGCTCCTGCACCAGATCATGGAGTTGGTGGCCGGCAATTTGGAGGGCCACCTCATACTTTCGAATGTGAGACTTGCATTACTTCTCGGAGAGAAGTTCCTGAATAGTCTGGGTGCCAACATGACCGTCAGAAAGGTTTCCCTCGAAAGCTTGCACGCCACAAGTCGGCTTCCCATGCAAACTGGAGCTGCGTGGAGCTGTAAAGCCTCAAACAGGTTGATCCGTGTTGCTCGTGCATGGGCTGTATCATCAACCATGTCTTGAAGCACTTGCTTCAGATTTGTGGCCTAGCTTCTTGGAAAGCCGCAACGAGAAAGCCGCGGTGGATATTGAATTCCTTTGGAGCTTTCCACCATCCGGAGCGAGCGCACAGGGGTTTAAGAATTAGGATTGAGCCTAGTGGCCAGCCTTGAGCCAACCCGAAAAAAGCTAAATCAGAGACCCCAAACCTGCGCCCGAAACCTCAACCCGCCCGATGTTCGCTCTCCGGAGATGGTGCTGCAGAAGCGTCAACCCTAACCCATGACACACTCAGCCAGTAGATGAACCTTATACTTTTGGGCTTTTATTATTTAGTAGGAATAAGCTTTTGCTTTTTTTTATTCCTTGGTTCTGGGAGAAGTAAGATAACAAGAGCCCACCCTTGACCCTATGCCCTACTTAAACCCTTTAATGTAAGGGGTAGGAACCAAAGCCTAAGCATGTTACGCTAAACCCTAAACCCTAAACCCTAAACCCTAAACCCTAAACGTTGCCACAGTTGAGGTATCTTCAGGGACTGCTGGAGTTCATCGAGAACACGATCGACAAGAAGGGTGAGGTCGTCGATGTCCAGGCCTTCTTATGGGCTTCTCTTGGGGGAACGCTAGGGTTCAGGGTTTAGGGTTTAGGGTTTAGGGTTTAGGGTTTATATAGGGTTTAGGGTTTAGGGTTGCGCCCTCAGTCCGGCTGCAAAGAAAAGCTCAGGGCTTAGGGTCTCGGGTTGCGGGTTTCGGGAAACTCTTCTGACACCTTACTGTCAAGTTCACATGGATACGGAGGTGTTTGGGGCTGGGTGCCGGTCAGGGGTGAGCTCCATGATCTCGACCCGTGCAGGCGAACTGAGTGCGATGTCCATGCCAAGCTGGACGAAACGGAGTCGTGCTGTCTCCGACCCTTGGGTTTTGGGTTTAGGGTAGGGTTTAGGGTTTAGGGTTTACGGTTAGGGCAAACTGTGCAAAAACCCTTCGCCCACCAAAAGACGCACGACTGCCTTAGCCTCTTGCACATGGCAGGGGGAGCTCGACCACTGTAGTAATCCCTGTGGAGTGAATCCGCCCGCTTTAGGAAGAAGGGTTTGGCAACCTGAGATGCTTCGAAGGAAACTTATGAGGCATGGTACATAGGCCCAAGCAGAGCTTCCCCCCACCCTAAACCCCAAACCCCAAACCCCAAACCCTAAACCCTAAACCCTAAACCCTGTTGCACTAGCGTGAAGCCTGCTGCCGCAGAGAGTGCTTGCAAAAAACCCTAAACCCTAAACCCTAAACCAAGAGCTCCGGGTCGAACACCCCCATGCCACGTTTCACCAAAGGGAACTGGGAGTTGCAGGGCCCAGGTTTAGGGGGACTCTATAGGAGCGCATGCGGGATTTCCCAAACTGCACACCAGGATGCTTCAGAATATCGAGGGCTGAGCGCTGGTGTAGTGATGCCCAGTGACCAGTGCTTTTGCGACCTTAATCGTACACTTGTCAGAGGGCCTCCCCCCATTGATTGGAGGCATGGTGGGTGGTTTGTTAGATCAGGGACAGCCCTAAACCCTAACCCCTAAACCCTAAACCCTAAACCCTAACACAGCCAATGCAACAGCAATAGCAGCGCGGGCCCTGTGGCGATCGTGCGCCTCGTCCATGTGGTCTCGCCGTGTCATTCCACTGAGAGGCCCATGCGCTCCTGCGCAAGAAGGGGCATCCTTAGGCTCGCAAGCAGACCCAGGTCCTAGGTCAGGGGTTTAGGGTTTAGGGTTCAGGGTTTAGGGTCTAGGGTTTAGGGTTTAGGGTTAGCGTTGCTCCTTCCACAGTTCCACAGGCATTGTAAGCATGGGCTTTGCAGGGAATGCCGCGGCCGTAGCTGATGGAACAAAGAGGAGGCCTCGTGCTCCAAGCTCTTGTCGGGAATGAGTGCAACCCATGTCTTGCTGTCCCTACGCTTTTCCGAGAACGGCCTAATGAGCAGCCTGTGAGTCTAACACCTGGCCGAACTCAGATTCCTCATTCTTGCGAGGAACGGCTGTAGCTTAGGTCGTCCTGCGATTGATGCCATTGCCCATGCTCCGTGGTGATGGCCCGATTTTGCGCAAGCGGTGGCAAAACAGAAGCTGCCGCGCAGGAGTTTGAAAGGCGTCGGTAGGGGACCCATGTTTTTTTGCACCCTTTTTTCTGGGCATTTTCATTTTATTGCCCTATTTTCTGGTAGAAAACCTCTCTAACCCTTGGAATGAGACAGAGAAGATTAGCATGGCCCCTGCGAAAGGATGACAGGTACAAATCGAGAAGAAGAGACCCTAACCCCCCCCCCCCCCCGCCCAAAAAAGAAAGAGAAAAAACATGCCAAAAGAAAAGAGAATAAAGGGCCAACAAAAAGAAGTGCACCCGTTCTGTAGGTTCCATTTGTTGTGGGGGTTGAAGGCTTAAAACTCACAGCCCCAAACCCTAAACCCCAAACCCCAAACCCCAAACCCTAAACCCTAAACCCTAAGCCCTTTTCGCCTACGGCCGAGGTGTGGGCCCCTCCTTCCCAATCTGGAGGGTCTCCTCGCGTCCTTCGAGCCCCACCTTCGGCCCCTCAGACGGCGCTTTGCGGCGAATCGAGTTTAGGGTTTTTTAGGGTTTTTTAGGGTTTTTTAGGGTTTTTTAGGGTTTCTTAGGGTTTCTTAGGGTTTTATGGGGTATTATGGGGTTTTGGTTTTTTTAGGGTTTTTTAGGGTTTTATGGGGTTTTGGGGTTTTATGGGTTTTTAGGGTTTTAAGGGTTTTTTAGGTTTTTTAGGGTTTTAGGGTTTTTTTAGGGTTTTTATGGTTTTTGGGGTTTTATGGGGTTTTAGGGTTTTATGGGTTTTTAGGGTTTTGGGGTTTTGGGGTTTAGGGTTTTTAGGGTTTTTAGGCTTACTGCAACAGCCCGGCAGCAAAAAGTGTTTTTAGGGTTTAGGGTTTAGGAAGCTCTTAGCAAGGATGTTTCGTTTATTTCGTAGTT